GTGGAAGCAAGGGCAGGAGAAGCAGAGGGGGTGGTGGGAAGCTGTCCGCGGCAAGGGCAAGGGAGGGGACGGTTAAGGGAGGAGGGCCAGGTGGGACGAAGGCTGGGCGGCGAGGCGAGGGCGGCAGCGCGGAGTGCGGCGTAGCGGGCGGCGCGGCGCACCGGGGGTGAAGGAGTAAAAGGCGGCGTCCAGCAGCGCCTGGGTATCTGGGGCGCCCTGGGCCCCCGCGATGATGACCTGCGGCGTGCGTGTGTTGGTGGTGGCGGGAGAGGGGGAGAGGAGTTGTTGGACGGGAGCACAGGGCAGGGGTAGGGCAGCGCAGCGAGCAGGCACAGCAGGCAGACGGCTGGGCTTCTGGGGCCGCCAGGAGCCGGGCACGCTGCAGGCCGCACACACGAGCGGGTGGCTGTGGCGTGCCGCGCGCCGCCGCATCTGCGGGGCTGCCCGCACCTGCCGCGGGTGTCCCAGGGTGAGGAGGTGCAGCGAGGCGGCCATCTGGGGCAAGGCCACGGGCGCCTCGCCCAGCCGCTCCGCAAAGGCGGCGGCGCACTTGGCGGCGCGCTCGCGCCACCGCGCCGACTCCTGCGCACAGCAGGCACAGCAGGCGCAGCAGGGGCAGGTCAGCAGGGGTTGCAGGCCAGAGCTGCTGTCAGCCGCCACGCATACCGCCCGGCAGCTGGACCCTTCCCACCCACGCACAGCAACTGACAACATAGCCGTTTGCGCCTGCCCTGCGTCCTGCCCTGCGCCCCAGCCCGCCCTGCGCCCCAGCCCGCCCCCCCCACCCCCACCTCTGTGCCGCACAGCCCCGCCAGGCGCCACAGGTTGGCCAATGCGATGGAGGAGGCGGCGGGCTCGGCGCCATCATAGTCCTCCTTCATGCGAAGCAGGATGGAGGCGTCGCCCGCCACACCGGAGAAGTAGGCGCCCCCCGCCTCATCCCACAGCACCTCATCCATCGTGCCCTGCAGCTGCAGCGCCCACTGCACCAAGGCAGGGGCAGCGCGGGCGGCGGCGCGCGGCGGCGCAGGGTCGGACGGCGGCCGACGCGGCGGGGAGCGCGGCGCGGCGGCGCCGCCGGCGGCAGGCGCAGAGTGCTGGCAGGCGTGGCAGCGCCCCAGGGGTGGTACCAGCAGCCGCAGCCAGCGCGGCTCCAGGCAGCGGACGCAGCCCATCCCTCTGTGGCCGGCGCCCGCCTGGGGGCGCCTGCAGCTTGCTGGCCCATCCGTGCCTGCAGGTGCGCGACGTCGCCGGTGGTAGAATGGAGGTCCAGCAGTCCCGCCACCATCCAGGCGTAGTCATCGGCAAAGCCCTCCACCGCAGAGGGCCCCGTCGTGAAGCAGCGGCGCAGGCGCCCCGTCTCGCCGTCCCACAGGTGCTGCCGCACAAAGGCGGCGGCCTGGGGGCAGGCAGAGGCGGCGGCGGCGGCAGGGGGCAGGCGTGGAGGCGCGGACGTGATGCCTCTTGCTTTCTCAAGCAGCAGACGGCTGGGATGCAGGCTGCCGCTGCCAGCCAGCCGACAGCGAGCAGGCCAGCCCTTCTCCTGCTGACCCACCCACACAGCCGCACCTGCAGCGCCGCCTGCAGGTAGTCGCCAGGTGGGCGGCCCTCGACAGGAAAGCAGCGGGCAGCGGGCGGCTGCTCGTGCGGCAGGATGCGGGAGGCGAGGGCGTAGGCGGAGATAGCCATGCCGTTCCAGGCCGCCACGATCTGCGGGGGAAGGAGGTGTGTCTGTGTGTGTTGTGTGTGTGTGTGTGCGTGTGTGTGTGTGTGTGCAAGAGTGTGTGTGTGCGCGTGCGTGTGTGTGTGTGTGTGTGTGTGTGTGTGTGTGTGTGTGTCCCCCAAGCACAAGAAGCCGATGCTGCCAGGGGTTGCTCAGGATGCGCGGCCAAGCCCCTCCCCTCCCGCGTGCGCGCGCCTTGTCGTCGCGGTGAGGGCGCGGCCGCCGCTCCCGAGCCCGGAACAGCTTCTCGCGGCACGCCGCCAGCGCCGCCGCCGTGTCGGCCTCGCCGCGCGCCGCGGCCGCCGCCGTCTGCGCCAGGCTCTGCCGCTGTATGAGGCAGTTGAGGCCCACAAACTCCCCGTGAGGGTCGCTGCGGGGGGACAGGTCGCAGTTGCCTCCCTGCTTGGCGTAGTAGTGGGCACAGAAGGCGGGGGCGTCCTCGGGGCCTGCGCGGGTATGGGGCGCAGCAGGGCACAGCGCAGCACAGCGTCAGCACAGCATCGGCGCAGCACAGCACAGCACAGCATCAGCACAGCACAGCACAGCGCAGCATCGGCGGGGCGTGGTGCAGGATGGGCGGCAGTAGCCTGCCCGCCATCACCGCCGACCCTCCTCCCTGCCTGGCGCGCTGCCTGCCCTGCTCCCGGGCCCCCTTCCGAGTCCCTCGCCTCCCCGCGGGCACTGCCGCAGGGCCCACCCAGCAGCTGCTGCAGCTCCTCCCAGCTCCACACGTAGAACCATCCCTCCTTCTTGTCGCCGCTGGCTGGGTCAAGAGAGTCCGCATCCTCCGCGGCAAACAGGCCGCCCCCCGGGTGGGTCATGCCGCGCAGCAGGTAGTCAAAGATGCCGCGCGCCACGCCTGTGCTTGGGTGGGGAGGAGGGTGGGGAGGAACGATGGGAGGAGGGTGGGGAGGAGGGTGGGGAGGAGGATGGGGAGGAGGATGGGGAGGAGGATGGGGAGGAGGATGCGGAGGGGAGGAGAGGAGGATGGGCAAGATGGGCCGCGGGGGAGCCAGCAAGGACAGGAACACGGGGGAGGCAGCGGGGCACAGCGCAGTATAGTGCGGTGGGCGGCGGGCGTGCCCACCTGCGTACTGCGCGTCCCGTGTGATCTGGAAGGCAGCCAGGTATGTGGCGGCCAGCTGCGGGTTGTCATACAGCACTGCAAGCGGCAAGGGAGGATGGGAGGGGCCACGGGGAGGCGCCAGCAGGGTGAGGAGCCGGACCAACCGCCCGCGGCGGGCCAGGCTTCAGTGCTGCTTCAGTGCTGCGCTCAGCGAAGAGCAAGCCAGGCAGGGCCGGCAGGGAGGGTGCGGCTCACTCTTCTCAAAGTGCGGCACGTGCCAGTACTCGTCCACTGCGCACGGGGCGGGCGGGCAGGCAGGGGGTGGAGGGAGGAGTGTTGCAGGCAGGGGCGCCAGCTCAGCCAGGGAGGACATGAGCAAGGACGGGCGGTGAGCCGCCGCCAGCTCAGCCAGGTGCTGCCTGCTGGGCCCCCCTGCGCCTGCCTGCCTGCCTGCCTGCCTGCCTGCCTGCCGCCCCAGCCAACGCCTCCCTCCACCTGCCAAGCAGGCGCGTGGCCCCCTCACCCGAGTAGCGGTGGAAGCCGCCGCCCACGTGGTCCCACATGCCCCCCGCCGCCATCTGGCGCAGGCTGAAGGTGGCCATGTGCAGCAGGCGGTCTGTGGGGAGGGGCAGGCAGGCAGGCAGGCGGGCAGGCAGGCAGGCGTGGAGCAGGGGCGGCGGCCGGGCACCGCGTGGGGAAGGGTGCGAGGGCCGCGGCGTGCAAGCTGCTCACGGCACGGCAGCGGGCAGCACGAGAGGCGGGCTTCGGCTGCTCGCACCGGCCCGTGCCGCTGTGCCGGCTCAGCCCCATGCCACCGCCGCCCGCACCCCTCCACCGCTCCACCCACCCGCAG